GTCTTGCCATCGGCGCGTACGCGCTGTTCATGATGGAGCAGAAGAAAAATCCCGCCCTGAGCGGCCTCCCAATTGCCCAGCGTGGGAAAATGACCTCGAAGCTCTACAAGGCGCTTGCCCCTGCTGAGCGTGCTGCACTGGAGAAGCGTGCCAAGGCCATGCCGTCGCTGAAGCGCGCCAAGAAGCCCAAGGCAGGCGCGAAGGGTGAAGAGAAACCGAAGCGTGCCCCGTCGAAGTACGCGCAGTTTGTGAAGGCCAACCTGCCCAAGTACAGCCAGTTACCCAACAAGGAAAGGCTCGCTGCGGTGGCAAAGCTGTGGAAGCAGCAGCAGCAGCTGCAACAACAACGGCAGCACCCGCAGGTGCTGCAGCAACGGCAACAACCGCAGAAGAGGAGGGTGTAACGAGATTGTGCTGCTTTTCCTTTCCATTATTATTTATTCTCTGTCTGGAACGTGGGCTTAGTTTTCAGCATTTGAGTAAGAAGAATGAAAAGGGGAGGAGGCGACTCGGGCTCCTTGAGGGGAAAGGCAGTATTCGTGCGATGGATAAGGAAGGAAGCACATAGAAACATACAGCAAAAGAATACGGCGAAGAAGGAAGAAGGAGGAAAGGCACCATAAAACCAGCTTAAGAGAGGGGCAGAGGTTCTGCAGTTCGTGGGGACAGAATCGAATTATAAAGAAGGAGAAAGGAGAGGATAACTTTGAGTATCTTTCCGTGGTTTATTCGTGTTCTTGCGGCGCCCGTGAGAGTTGTTTCGCCGTGAAAAATTGTGTTTTGAGCTTCGGTTTTTGGTGAAGTTGTTTTCTCGACGCCGCACGCGGCTTCCCCAGAACTTGTTTGGGGTTGATTTCATAAAGTACTGGTCGTTGCCTTTTTTCTGTTGCTGCAAGTCACATTTAGCTGCTTGTTTCTACTCTCTCTGTCTGCTCGTGATGCCTTTGTCTTGTTGTAGAGGTTTGTGGGGGGAATGTGGGGTCAGGGAAGCCCAATTAGATGCTGGTGCTTCTTGTGTATACACCTTGTTTCTTTGCCCATTACTTTTTTTTTCATGTTTTGTTTTCCAAAGAGACCGCGTTGGAGGCAGCGAGGGAGGCGTTTCGCTTTTTTTTTCTTGTTTTACTCGGTCCCCCCGCCCAAACCCCTTACTAGTACGACTGCGAACACCCTCCACACGGAACGGTGTCCGGCCGTTGCGGGGCCCCAACAACTGACACTTTGTCAGTTGCGCGGGGGAGCCAAGTTATCATAGAGCGTTCTTTTTTATTTTTGAAATCATTTGTTTACCGGTGAGTGTTGGGGGGTGTCTCATCGGAAGTGGAATGATAGGCGCACGCCGAACCAAATTGTCATTTCCCATTGCGGTCCTTTCTCTTCCTAGCAATAGGGGAAATGAGGCCTCCTCTAGACGCGTATTCCCTATTGATTTTGCTTTGGCTTTGTTTTTCGAGTGGCCCCAATGCACTAACCCGCCTGCTCGCTAGCGGGCCGCGTTCCCTGTGGCTTTGGTTGAAGCTTTATTATTGTTATTTGGTGTTGCCTCCTTTTTGCTTCTCTCTCCGTGGGTGGGTGGCTGGATGATTTCGCACAGACGCACGCGCAAAGGGGAGCTGGCACGAGGTGGGAGGAAAAAAAAGAGGAAGTGCGGGGGAAGTTGCAGGGAGTGCTCTGCCGATTGGGGGAGGGTGCCGCTCTCTCCGCGTGCGTTTCCACACATAGACGCTTTGAAACCGTATAGAAAACATGCTACGAGCCATAGGGCCGCTGTATAACAGCAGGAAGCTGGCGCTGCGTTTCTTTCAGACGGAACAAAGAAATAACACAAACTTGCACGGTTTGTCGGCGGTGCAGAAGAAAAAAGTGATCGTGAAAATGTTCAAGCAACTCACCCGAAGCGACATGGAGGCGCTTAAGAGGCGGGCTGCCGCCTGGGAAACCAAGAAGATGGGTGGCGACAGCGTGACTCCTTCCCAACGACGTCGGAACGAGATCACGCCGTACGAGCTCTTCTACAAGGAGCAGCTTTCGAATCCCTCCATTGCGTCCATCGCATCCCCTAGCGTACGCGAAAAGAGACTGTTCGCCATTTTTAATACTCTGCCAGCGGCCACGAGGGATACGTTTGAGCAGCGTGCAAGAGAGCTCTCCCGGGGTGAGGCTGCGAGTGTCTCCCCGACGCCGTCGAGGAAAAAGCCCACAGTTAGCAGAAAGAAAAAAAAGACTACAATTAAGACCAATAGCAGAGCTCGCAAGATAACCAAAGCAAAAGGTTCTGTAAGGAAGAAGAAAACCGGCACCAAGGCCACGGTGTCGCTCTACGGCGCATTTGTGAAGGAGCAGATGCCCCATGTGAAACATCTTCCAACCAAAGAACGGTTGAAGGTAATTGCCGCAAAGTGGAATGCGTTGAAAACGGGGAATGCCGCAGACAAGCCGGAGCAGTCGACTGCTGCAGCGGCTACTACACCACCGCAGTCCTGATGTCGTGGAGTTTTCCATAGGGTTTTTACTTTTTCACGCATTTCTTCCTCGGTTTGGCTGACGCGAACTGAATACGCACATTATGCACTGAGTTGTTGGGGACGGTAACGATATCGACGCGGCGCGTGGACAACTATCTTGCAATTACATAGACGTTACTACATATAAAATGCAGTTATGGATACAAACGTGAGCGCCGCCGTCTCTCCTGCGCATAACCTTGACGTTCCGTTGCCTCGCCATCCTTTCTGGAGCGGAGCCCCACCATAGAAGTTCATTGTGCTGGCCATTCTTTCTGCTGGTCCTCCTCAGCCCGGGATTCCCACCCTGCCGCCTCTCCCTCGCGCCCTCCCTCCTGTTTGCCCTTTCACCGTTGTGTAATGCCTTTTTCATTTCCTCCTCTGGAGCACCAAAAACAAGGAATCCAGTGTAAAGGGTCTGTCACCAATGCTGCGTTTTTGCCGTTCTCGTCTTGCCATCGGCGCGTACGCGCTGTTCATGATGGAGCAGAAGAAAAATCCCGCCCTGAGCGGCCTCCCAATTGCGCAGCGTGGTAAGGTGACCTCGAAGCTCTACAAGGCGCTTGCCCCTGCTGAGCGTGCTGCACTGGAGAAGCGTGCCAAGGCCATGCCGTCGCTGAAGCGCGTCAAGAAGCCCAAGGCAGGCGCGAAG